GTAATAAAAAGAAATTAAGTTATTGTAGAGAACATAATTTCCCAGGCGGCTTGAACGCGCCATCAGCTGTAGGCGGCAGCGTGCAGATACCAGGATGTGTAAATAAATACAAGTTCCTCGTCCTTTCTGATTGCTAAGAATACATAAGCACCTCCCTTCTGCTTAACGCCACCCACCTTTTTCTTATTTTCCCTTTATTAAAGAGTTGTGCTAATAAATTGTCTATTACTTAATTAGTAAACATTTGCGATTAATTTTCCTTAATTCACATGTAAATGATGAGATGATATCTGGGTTTGGAATCAATTAGGAGAGAAGACGGACAAAATATCGTGGATATATTAAATACATTAAGGATAAACACTGAAAACAAGATAATTGTGTGTAATTGTTTCGTCTAACCTTGAAAAATTTAAATATCACTTTTATTTCCATGGTTTGGATTGATTTGGTATAGCAGCAACCTCTCAAATTGTTTACACATCATCCCACTGTGACAGTGACACCAATGTGCGTATGTCTTAAAAATCAACGCAAGATCAACACATATATTGATCTAATAAAATAAAACGTAGCCTAAATGAAGCATGAATGTGACAGGGGACCTACCCGCGCACTGAGAGCATCTCTCCATCCTATTTCTCCCTGCAGCTCTGACGTCGAGGACGCGCGTCAGCCAAAACAACAATTTTACTTATTTTTTTTATTCATATCCATATTCGTTTGTTAGTTTCTCTGTACTTCATTGCATTTTATTTCTATTAGTGAGCTAAATGTTGCAAACACCGCGCAACAACACACACACACACACACACACACACCAACACACACAGGGAGGAATGGTTGTAAACACTTTTCCTACAGCTTCCTCCAGGGTTGCACGCGCTGTGCGCGCGCGCGTTGATAAATCCGACGTTTCTTTGTTTTTGTTGCCTGTTCACGTGGCTATTTAATCCCCCCATTGGAGACACGTACACACACTAAAAGACTGAGCGATTTGCGTCTGCAGGACGCAGCTGATCCCCTGAAATAAGCCGCGCTCTTGAACGCAACTCTTATTTATATCAAATTACAGAACGTGGCTCTTGAAGGAAATAAGATGCTGTAATCTATCAGATAAACAGATATGCTGCAGAGCGTTAAAATAATAAGTAATTAAGAGTATAAATAAATAAATAAATAAATAAACAGCTGTGGTGCAGGAACATGAGGAAAACATTAAAAGTGTATCATGCATCAAAGTCGTGCATTATGCTGCAAAATGCAGACAAATAGAGCGAATTCATACTACATGCATGCTTTCAGATATAATGCGACATTAAAGCTGCAAAATTCGCACCTCGGTCACATTTAAATGCTGATGATTTGCTGCAAATAACGCTGTGTCCTTCAGTAGGTCACCATGGTTTTGCACTCACCCCAAAGACGCTTCGCCTCCCCCCCTCCACCACCTTCCTGCAGAGACCAAAACAGCCCGGCGGAGGGAACGACTTTCTCTGCTGGAGGTGCTGCAGGAGTTTGAAACACAGAAACCCTTTTTTTTTATTTTTACGGTTGCATAAATCCAGCGGCAGCCTCTGCAGCCTTGTTGGTTTGGTTCAGTTAAAAAGTCTCCACAAACATCAGCGCGTCCCGTCCTGAATCCCCTCTGCGCTCTTCAGGGCGATCCGTAGCAATCTGCGGGAATCTGGATGTCCCGGCTGAAGAGTGGAGACCCATCCGTCAGAGTGGGCTCATGTTGTTGTTTTTGCTCCTCTGTATACTGACAGTCCTCTGAGAGCAGCAGCAATGGGACGATAGGCCGAGCGGTTCCGTTTGAGGCCTTTATTTATAGCGAAAATCCCAATAATCTCTGCAGAGCAGCGCGCTTTGGTCAGTACCCAAGATACGCGCACGGTGACGAATGCATCTGTCTAATGAACCTGTGTGATCAAATATCTGGTCTGGTTGAAGAGAGAGTGTGAGCTGACTGCCGAGGAAAACTTGTCTAAGAAAGTGCAGAAAATGCTGCGTTTTATTTCCAGTGGTGCTGCGTTCAGGTGCCGCAGGGAATGTGGTTTACACGAATCACCCATTAAAGAAAACAAACAAGCTCAAAATTAAGGTGTAACCTATAGGCCAGTGTCTTTACATTTTCAGTTGCACACCGGAGAATAAAGAGGTATGCATAATAAAAAAGAACTACATTAAACAATTAATCAAATAAATAAAGATATATCAAGAGTAAATATGAGAATATAAATCAAGAGTGTTTAAATATTAAAGAGGAAAAAACACAGATGGGCTGCACTAGGAGGCTTTGATGTGACATGGCACAGAAAAACAATTTATCATCCGACTACTGTTGTCCATCCCTATTAGTGATCATACAGAGGAAGCTCTGCACTGGTGGCAACAAGATTCAGTAGAGCACTCTCCCAGAGGATGTGGTCCAGATGATGGACCAGTCCTGCATCTAAACACCATACTTTCGAATTTGAAGGTCTAGAGAAACATTTTTTCCTCCACTCAAACCTTTAAAGTTCTGGTTGCCATTTTGATGTAAATTAGAAGTGACTAAATGATTTTGTTTGGAGGCAACTATTACTAAAACAAGAAGACTATTTAAATCCCACCTTTTTTCTCCTTATAAGTCAGAGAATGAAATAAATTGTGATGTCAGAGTTTTTAACTAAAAGAAAAAGGCTGTTCATTCTGTCAACCAACAATGCAGAAAAAGGATATTCTTTGTGTTGTTGATTTGAATTATTATATATGGGTAAACAATAAGGCTTCATGCATGTACATCACCAGCTTTATAAGCACAAACAAGCCAATGGCTTACAGACATAAGAAAATAATTGGCCTTCTAATGCAATGTGAAAAACTAATCTGCATCAGATACATTCAGTCCCATCAGTTTGCCAAAACAGATTTCAACTTACTTTCATGGTGTCCCAGTCTGCTTACATTTACAATGAAAAGGATAAAATACATTAAAAAACTTGATACTTCAGGTTATACATGTAACTTGCAATACATGTTATCCTCATTAGAAGGAAAATATGATTTGAACAGACAAGACCAAGTGCAATTTAATTTAAATTTTCAACTGCATAAAATATTTATAACATAAATGTTATTATAAAAGATGAATAGTCAAATAAAAAAATCTCTTTTAATTCTCATTCATAAATTTTTAACAATAATAGGTTTATTTAATAAGTTAAGAAGGTTGTTTTTAAATCATAGATGAAATGTATTTTGAATGTTTGTTTATAACCCTATATTTATATACCGTATATATATATATATATATATATATATATATATATATATATATATATATATATATATAAGCTAAATATTTAATGGTGGGCATCTCTCTAGCGTTTATGTCCTTTAAAGACATGAACACAAGAGAAATAAATGGATAGAATAATAGCAGTTCGTCCTGTCTTTGTTAAGTTAAAACAGAATTCGCAAAAACTTTTCCTGTTAACGTCTTAATGCAATTCTGCAACCGAAATATCGTACTCCTCCTCAAAAATGCATTAAAACTCTTGTTTCCGACCTACGACTTGTTCCTTGAAGGCGACAGCAGCAGCACAGTAGCCTAGTTACACAGCCTTAGCCACAAATAGCATCCAATGAAAACGAAGAACACACTCCAGTCAACCAATCAAATCCATAAGAGGGCGGGGAAAAATAAAACGACCAATCAGCGTTAAAGCAGGTTGGTGTTTGCGCGCATCCGCGGCCGAATGTTGTTTTTTCTTGAGCGCGCGCCGCCAGCGGTGACGCGTGCCAAATGTAAACTGTAGGAGGCGCATGCGCGGCCGCATTGCAGACACGTGGTGGAACTAGAGCAAGTAAACAAACTAGTGTGCAATCAATACGATAGACTGGTTGGTTTTCTTCTATATGTATTAAAGTAAATATTATTTATTTGTTTCTAATTAATTATATAGTGTGTTTAAAAACCAATAGCATATTTTTTTCTTTAGGTGTACATTTCACTAATAAAGCAGAGTAACTCACTGATACATTCCTGAAGTTTAAACCTAAAGACTAAAACATACCTCCCCTTCTTGGTACAGACTGTGACCCAAAGACAAACTACTTCTGAATTTATGAATCAAATCTTATGTAACAGTATGAGGTGATGGACAAGACTTCAGAGGAATTTAACTTGTACCACAGCGACCCCTAAAGCACCAAAGTATATTTTTTATTTATATATAAATTACGTAATTCAAAGCAAGCATTATTTGAAAGCCTCAGCGGACGCTATAACTAGTGGAATTGAATGCACCATTTGTGTTTTTCCTTTGGTAGAAACTAAGCCCCGTGAGGGAATCTCTGAGCAACTGTCAGCTTTTTTTTAAATTTGGAAATATTTAAGCACAATTATACAATTTAAAGTTATTTCATGTACAAACAAATTTCTAAATACCAAACACTTAATGCAAGAGTTGGGCTTTTCAAAGGGTTTGTCCCATTTGTATAACATGGAATGCAGACAGAGGTGTGTATGTAAACCGGATTTCCAAAGGAGCTGATGCAGAGTCACCAGTTTTTGAGTGAAGCTTGGATTAGGACAGGGGAGCCATCCTAATCCAAAAAAAAAGGCATTACAAATACAGACCTGCATCTAGAAGACCTCCAAAAACAAAAAAAAACTCAAGCATGTTGGTCAATAATATTTGAACATTAAATGGGATTAACCAACTCCATGCTCAAGAGTTTAAGGGTTTTTGTTGTGAGATTAATCAGGGCAAGTTAACTTTGATAGTACTGATTGATTTTATTGTTCTCACAGTGGAGAAATTCACTCGTTACATCAGCTCAAACAATCAAAACGAAGGTGCCAAAAGGGAGAAAAAGGTGCATTTGATATATATATAGTATATACAGTGCATAAACATATTTTTTTTTATATGACAGCTGAAGTCTTTCTAGTACGTTTTAGGTACACCATTACCAAGAATGCATTACATTATAAGTGCATGACAGTTGTATAATTATAATTAGTGGTATAATTATAATTGTACTTTGGGTATTTTATATTATTCAATAGTCTGAGTAGGACAAAGGCAACACTAAAATTGTGTAATTTGTGCAGTTTTCTTCCACTTTGGTCCAGTTTCTAAATGCTACTTCTTCATGTTCTGTTCTAGGTTTGTGGAATCTGAGCTAGAAGTTCTGAGAGGTTTGGTTGGTCAATCACTACCAAGTCTGATGTAATTTTGTGCTTTGCCATTCAGTGATTTATAAACCTGAAAAAAGAAATCTGTCCTCTGAGATACAGAATCAGTGTTAGAAGTGGGATGACATGCTCCACTTCCTTAGTTTTAATGAGGATGCAGGCAGCTGCATTTTGGATCAACTTTTTAGGCAGACGGTTAAAGAAAGTAATCAATCCAAAAAAATGTTCTCCAGATGACTTATGGCTGATTCAGTAATTGTCTTTATGTGCCACTGAAGGTTCAGGTCTGAATCTATCTCTACCGAAAAATTTCAGACCTGATTGGATTTTAGAATTTTTATTGATTATACCTTTTAACTATTATAGCTTAGAGAACACACAATAAGCAGGTAAAGATTGAAAACATCGTTCCAGACCAATGATCTCCTGTAGCTTATTTATGAGGGATCTGGAGAAGCCTCTGTCTGAAAACATTACCGTTGTTTGATAATCTGATAAAGAGAGTCCTCTGGATATAATGAAGGTGGCCTAAAATATAAAATGGGTTGCTGGTCTGTCAGAGGGTGATCTGTGAGTGGAAGATGCAGTTGTAGCTGAACCGTTCTCCTGACTGAAGTGGAACAAACCATACATTGCCTGGGTGGTGCCGTCCTCCATGTTGAAGCTTGTGAGGAGCTTCCTGATAAAGAAGTCATTGGTTCTTATTCACCAGGTGGGATGTCATCTCAATCCAGAAGAGGTCAGAGGAAAGGTTAATACTCAGAATCAATGGATTCTTGCAATAATTGCAGCCATGTGCCTCTCTTCTACTAATCCAGTCCAAAAATCAATTAGTTAAGTTGTTTTTATTCAACTAAATGATTGAGGATTAGTTCTATTAAAGTGTTATTCCCTTTTATATTTTATAAGACATATTTTAAACCTACCAAGCTCAAATAATCAATCGAAGCATCTTTCAGAGTTTCGTTTGTGTAGAACATACTTAATTGGAAATCCTGCAGAAATGTCTCAAATGGAATCCTCAAACATTTATCTTCTCCACTGAGCCTCAAGTGCAAGTTTGTTATCGCATTTATATACAAAACATAAATTCTAGTTTGCCATGGCATTGAAAGGATTCAACACAGGCCCAAAATTTTCTTATTTAATTTTCAGCTTAGCTGTATGGATCCAAACATATACAGTAAAGATGCAAGTGTAGAAAAGACATTCATGGAAGCTCCTTCATAAAAAGAAAATCCAAATAAAACTGAAAAGTCTTAAAAAAAAAAAGAAAAATGGAGAAACAGATTTTTGTAACTGATAATAAACACTCAGACACACTAAAGAAGGTATAGTTATTTTTAATGAACGTCTATTGAAATGTCATGGCAGAGTTGCAAAAGACCCCCTCCCAAAAAAAAAAAAAAGCATTTTTCTTCCTCCCCAAAATAGTCGGTCTGTAATAGCAAACGCTTCGTTCAAGTCAAATCCTTCACACGACAGCAAAGTAAAACTGACCAATCAACTCCAAACGATTTAATGGCAGCTCAAACAAACCTTTAAAATACAACCAATGGTTCTTTGTACTTAGTTTTTCTTTTTTTTTTTTTTTTTTTAAATGACACAATTAAAGATTTATACCGATCAAAACATACAGAGTGAAGTAGTTCCACTGGAGACAACTCAAACAAGATTAGTGTCTGATAGAAACATTAATTTTACAATAAAAATATCTGCACAAAAACATCCAAAAAAGAAAAAAAAAATTTATAAAGGTAAATAAGGGTAACGCAAAAATATATCGCAATGTTTGCTTTTCGTTCTTTATTACAGTCACAGATCACACAGCTGTTGCAACAAATCTCTTTTTAAATTTACAGAAATGTAGGATAAGGTCGCCCCATATCTGCGACCTCCCAGCCCTCCCCCCATTTCTCACCCCCTCCCCGAGAATTGATTGTGTTCATCTTTAAGAGCGTATACTGCGATTACAACGGATTCCCGACTAAACAAAAGCTGCACATCAAAATCTTGGATATCGAGACTATCAAAAAAGGCACAAACAGACAAGGTTGCACAAAGATCTCAGCTGAAGCTCTTTTTTTTTATGTATTTTTTACTTTATCTTCTTTTTATACAACTAATCCCACTAAGGTTTCCAGTGCCCTTAAAAGTTCTCCCTCCCTCCCTGTTTCTCAAAGAAAGAAAAATGAAAAACTATCTACAGGCATGTCAAGTCCTGGCAGGCACCTCGGATTACAAGTCCCATCCCAACTACCGGAGAAGCAAGTGCATTTCATAACGGAGACAGACGAGTGTGTGCAGCGAGCGTGAAGAGCACTAGGATTAAATCTGAGAATGCAAAAACAAAAAGTGATGTTTTGGTCATTTTCTTGACATGAGTTAAATCTATGTAGATAAAACATATATACATTTTTAAATGGGAGTGAAGAGAGTGATTAATGTTACCGTTAAGTTCAGGATTTGCATTCATTATAATGAAAAAAATACCTTAAAGATAAATGTGCTGCACTTCAGCAGCAGATTATGTTTTTGATCTGTGCTGCATTTTATGTTTTATTAAACCTGATTAAAAATGTTTGCATCCGTTTCAGATCAGTGATAATATAAAGGAATAAGTTGGACTTTTACTTTTTTTTTTGAGCAACCATGGAAGCCCATTACTACCACTGTAATAATGAAATCTAAATGCTGACTATATGAGTGTCATTAATATACTCTTTAATTTATAATGGCGTAAATGGACTTCCATAGATTTTTGGAAATCCGGCTCCCATGTGTTCGACCTGCAGCTATTTAACATTTAACGTGGCGGCTGTGATGCAAGCGTGACATCACAACTAGGTGTGGTCAGAGGTGCGACTGACCACTTATGGCTTGAATGCATCTGAGCGGCGCTTGAACCTCCTTTCGTATTCACGGAAGAAAACAAGAAAAATGGCAGCTTGTATCCTTTACTGTAAGCTGTTTGAAGGATCTTGGTTTTTTTGTTGTTGTTATTTTTAAGTCATGGATAGAAAAAAAAATTTAGCAGATCCGAGCATTTTAAACAAAAATAAAGCTTTACGCTGACTGCCTTGAACTTTAAACAAACAGCACCATGGCTTTGTTTTTTCATGTCTCTGCAGCTGTCAGAAACTGAGTTTCTGAATATTCAGAAAAGCCACCAAATAAGCTCTTAAGTTAGTCTGGTTTAAAATCCAGGAGCTGCGAAGCAGCAAATTATCCATCACAAATTGAAAAGAAAAAAAAAAGCTGTGACAACTTGTTTTTCTACTTGATTTTAGGATTTTATCAGAGTCGAAACAAAAGAAACACTATATATATATATATATATATATATATATATATATATATATATATATATATATCTCATAACCTTTGGCTCCATACATTCTTCCTTCTTTATGTATCAGTGAAACTTAAGAGACACTTTATTGACTAATATCTAAACTACAGCTCTATTTTGACAGGGCCATCTTAAATTTTGTTAGATATTTCCTTAGAGGCCCTGAAGTTTGCGCAGATTCACTCAGATTAGCCCTAAAGCAACCCAAAGCAGCTTGTGAAGTAACTGCAAACAAGAGCCGTCAGGTGCTGCAGCACTGCCAGATTAACCCTTTTTCCCTTTGAAATAAAATAAAAACTAAACTTACCTATTGGAAAAAAAATGTAATTTAACAGTCTTCAATCAGATCAATAGTAGAAGTTTAAAATCTTGACTTCAACTGCAAGTATGCATGATTCCCCCCCCTTTAATACAGCTGTCTGCTGGTTCGCACACTGCCAGCAGTTACTAGAGTATTAATGTGCAAATAAAAGCAACATGTATTGTGACATTAAGCAGTAATATGGTGAGGGTTACCATGCTCTGATCTTTAAATATGTTTTTTTAATTTTGGGGGTGATTTTTTTAAACAGGGTGAGCTTTTATGATTATTGGACTGTGTCCAAATAAAAATAAAAATGAAGATTCAAATACGCTACATGTGGAGGGAAAGCTGCTTAGCATACAGAGGGTAGGCAGAAGCAAAACAAAGGGTACAAAAAGCACCATGTGTTTGGAACGAGTGATTTACCACGACGGATGAGGGGAAAGAGCTGGAGCGCTCTCCCAGCGGACCCGGCCGGCTTGTGTGGCACTTTAACGTCGCCGTCTTTGTATACGGAGCTTATAACAGTCATGCAAAGGGCACAGTATTATTCTAACAAGGCGAGAGAGAGAGATCCATAAACATAAAATAAAAAATAAACATAGGGGGACATTTCTCTCCCGACCGGATGAGTTCTACGTGAAAACTAGATTCGACATGTCCCGACCCCCCCCAAAAAATATGAAAAATATCATACAAATTTATGTGAAATCAACTTTTCCTTTATTTCCTTGTGGCTAAGGCAGAAACGTCCAGTGAACTCTTTCCGTACATATCTACACGTTTCAATGCCAATAATAAAAAAAAAAAAAAAAAAAGGGCCTTTTATCCCAGGAAACTCATTGGATTCACTTCTCATCACCCTAAACAATAAAACATCTTAAGACTCTCCAGGCTTCATATATTTTAT